TGCAGCTCACATCTCGCCCCGCCTGGGCGACATCTGCTCTGCAGAGTCACACAAGTGAGAAAAGCTGTAGTCTGTCACTGTCATATGACTCACCGCGCCAGATGTGGGATGCCATATGAGCTGATACAGGGAGTTTCAGGGCCAAGGAGGGGGCACTCGTGGTCCTCGGTACCTACAGACGCCGGGCTCTCTTCAGTGCTACTGCTCTCCATTCGTTACCTCCTGCTAGGACCACTGTACGGCAATCACAGTGGGATCGACAATCCATCTTCAGGGAGTCAAAATGCTCAACCTCAAGCTAGACTGGCTAACGAATTAATTGCATGTAGATAAAAAACAAAAAAGAGAAAACAGCTACAAAGTTAGTTGTAAATGATTTAGTGAAGCTCTCGGTGACAGCAGATGTGCTCTTGCCAATAAAAACCAAGCAATGAGGCTGAGTGATTTCATAGAATCATTTAGGTTGGAAGAGACCTTTAAGATCGAGTCCAACCGTAAACCAACACTGCCAAGTCCACCATTAAACCACATCCTCAAGTGCTACACCTACACATCTTTTAAAGACCTCCAGGGATGGGGACTCAACCACTTCCCTGGGCAGCCTGTTCCAGTGCTCAACAACCCTTTCAGTTCAAAAAGTTTTCCTAATACCCAATCTAAACCTCCACTGGCACAACTTGAGGCCAGTTCCTCTTGTCCTATCACTTGTTACTTGAGAGAAGAGACTGGCCCCCCCTCGCTACCCCCTCCTTTCAGGGAGCTGTAGAGAGCAAGAAGGTCTCCCCTCAGCCTCCTTTTCTCCAGGCTGAACACCCCCAGGTCCCTCAGCCGCTCCTCATCAGTCATGTGCTCCAGACCCCTCACCAGCTCCATTGCCCTTCTCTGGACGCACCTCAATGTCTTTCTTGTCATGAGGGGCCAAAACTGAACACAGTACTTGAGGTGGGGCCTCACCAGTGCCGAGTACAGGGGGCGGTCACTACCCTAGTGCTGCTGGCCACACTATGGCTGATACAGGTCAGGATGCTGTTGGTCGTCTTGGCCACCCGGGCACACTTTTCCTTCAATATGGATCAGATGCTTGTTGAGAGATTAGCAGGGAGTCAGGACATGGGACAACAATATTCATTTTTTAGAGTAAATGAGCTGCTACACCAAGGGTCTTGTTTCAAAGTCATCTATCCATTCTGGAAAGCTTCTGAAACAGAAGTGAAATCTGCTTATTTTTCTGTAAAGATTATTCAAAATTGCCCTTGAGGAAAAGTTCCAACTGAAGCAACATGTGAGTTTGGGCAAAGCATAGCTCACGCCATAGCAAGAGATAAGATGACCCCGTTTAGGAAGGGAAGCTGCCAAGCGGTACTCAAGCAATGGCCACTCAGTGCATAATAACAGCTGAAGAAAAATATCAAACACCCTCTGGCATTAACACTGCCAATTCTCAAACCACACTGTTGACAGGTACTGGGCATGGCATTTCTTCTGCAGGCAGTCCTAAACCACTCGCACTGCAGGGTGCAGGAGAGAGGAACAAAAATTCTGCCAATGGTTTTATTAGGGTCTGTGTTTGATCTAGTCCTCTTCAACCAATAAACTAGAAGATCTAGCAGAATATATTCCAAATATAAATTTTATATTTTATCAACTCAAACCACGTTTCAAGTCAAATTCTCACATTGTTAACTTGCCTAAACTACTGTATTTTTAGCAGCAAGTCAGATTTTCATGAGTTTGATCAATGAAAACATTGTGCTCGGAAGTCACTAGATGGTTCTCTTCCTTTTCCCAGGGATGCTGTAGTGTCCTGGCCCGGGTCTTGCAAAGCAGAGCTGTTTCAGACCTGGTCAAGCTGCTGGTGTCTGGACCTTTCCCTGACTTCTCTATGGAATCATGATTTCACATGCTTAAAGCCTCTGAAGTTTGAACAGGAGCTAAACATGAATTTGCATTGGGCTCTCTACGCACAGTTTTGCACACAGCATCTCACACTAGAAACAGTTTTTGGAAACTCAGGAGCTGCTGCCCCTGAGCCTAATGTTAAACAGACTTTATAAGGGCTCCAACAACCAGGAAACACAAGACCTCAAGCCTTCTGAGGAAAACCGAACACATATGTATACACACACACAAATAGATTTCTCTACGCATTAAACACCTGAATTCTGCAACCTGTAATGAATATAAACAGAAATGTAGGGGGAAAAAAAGTCCTGACCCACTACACTACATACAAAGTGACAACAAAGCATCATTAACACAGAACCACTGGTGGCAAGGCCGTACTCAAAACCAGTCTTGACAAATACCCCCCCCCCCCCCCCAAAAAAGCCATTTCAAACAAAAAAAGCACACTGCTATCGTAACACAGTGTGTTGATTACACAATGGAATATGTATTTTTTGATAAATTCAGGGTGTCAGCCAGCCATTTCATATTTAATTTCTATAGCTGCAATTCTTTGAGAATTGAGTCAGAAGTTTCTGGGTTCGGTACCAGAGGACAAACCAACTGCAGTACTGTGGTGGGCATCCCACAAGACTGCCTGACCAGAATAGGAAGTAGCTGAAAATTTCTTCAGATAGCTGGAAAAAGCCTCTTGCTATCAAACCCTGGCAGACTTCGGCCACTCTGGCACCTGATGGAAGGACAGTAGGTTTGTGCACAAGCAATCCAGATTTCTAGAGACCTTCAAGGCCAATTTCTTGTTACAGGTGGTCAATAAGCCAAATAAGGGAGATGCTATGCTGGATCTGATACTCAAAAAAAACCCCAAACAAAACTCAAAGATGAAAAGGTGAAGGCAGCATTTCCTGCAGAGACTGAAGTGTAAGGTCCTTGACTGCCCGTGCAGTAAAGCAGCCACAGATTATCTAGAGCTGTACCAACAGCAAAGCCAGCAGGCCAAGAGGAGGGATCCTTTCTCCACTGTTTGGCACTTTAAAGACACCTGCATCCAGTTTGGGCTCCCCACTATAATGACAATATTGGCACACCTGAGAGCATCCATCTGAGAACAGAGGGCCACCAAGATGATCAGGGGGCTGAAGCAATAGGACACACAAAGAACATCAACCAAAACCTGGGTTTATTCAACCCAGAGAAGGTGAAGGGAGATTTACTGCTGCCCATGACTACTTAATGCGAGCATGTAGTGAAGACAGAGCTAGACGCTTCCCAGAGGTGCAGAGGCATAAAATGAAAAGCAATGAGCATTGGCTGCAACAGAAGAAATTCCAGTTAGGTGTACAGAAAAATATTTTCATCTAGAGGGTGGTCAAATATTGTGAGACAAGCCCAAGGAGGTTAGCTGATCTCTGTCCCCAGAGACAACTGAAATCACCTGGGCAAGCTAATCTCCAACCTGATCTGATTGGCCCTGGTATCTGATTGGCCCTGGTATGAGGACAGGGATGAACCTCCAGATGGCCCTTCCTAACTCGATTACTCTACGAATCCACAATCCAAGTTCAACAGCAGAATTACAGCCCTGTACTTCAGGATAGCAGATGTTCAGCTGATAAATGCATTCAGAGAAGCCAAAGGGCAGCTAGAGGAGACTAATGAAGGACAACACCCAGTCCTTACTTTGCTATTTCATTTGTTCTACTACAATGATATTTTCTATCATCATTATTCTCTGCCACACACAGCTATACGCAACACAAGGTGACCATCACCTACATTTAGGCATGTACTGCAACTGCACCTGTGTGGAGCACAGTGTATATGTGTAAGTTTAAAGGATAATCCCCTTTGGAGTTTGTGGGACCCAAATTCAGTTAGAATTGGTCCTTTTTAGAGGCCGATGCTAAACAAAGCAAAGAAGACAGTTAGTTGCTTTTTGAGCAACACCTTGTTTACTCATCCCCGTTTTTCCTCCTCCAACAGTTCATACTCTACAGTGTCTTAATTGCTCACTGACATGACACTGGGTGCTCAGACATGAATCTCGGAGCGCTTCCAGCATGTTTTATCATACCAAACCTTTCACCTTCGTACATCCAGAAACAGAGGTGGCCTGCTGTATAACGCTGACTGAAGAGGACAGTGGCAAGAGAGGACTTCATGACATATATGGAAATAAATCTCAGCATACAGAGAGGAAGAGTTTTTTTCTGTACGATTCAGCCCTTAAATATTTCAATAGCCCAAGGAGCAGCTTCTCCCAGTTCAAGTGTATGATGCAGGCTAGTCACAGCACTGGCTTTTGCTCTGAGGAAACCCCCTGTGGATACATTATTTTCAGTAGCTTAAGGATCACACTAAAGTAAACAAATCCATGGGAAAAAAAAAAAAAAAAAACACATCTTACTGTACAAAGCAAGTCAGGCCACAGTCAGATCTTTAATAAAAGCACTTTGAGTCAGTGACAAACAAGATACAGCAGACATGACAACTCAGAAATCAAGTTGGGGTAGAAGTGTGCTGCTGGTATTTTCAGAAGATCAAACAAGGTCCCTAAATCTAACCATACCCTCAGTGGCTTCTCAGCCCTTCACAACACACTAGAAGGCTGCTAAAAAAAGTCAATCTTGCCTCACCCCTCCGAGTTGGTATGGAAGAAGCACAGAAGGGTCTTTGTTCTGACCAAAACCAATGGAGTAAATTAACCCAGGAAAAAAAAATGCCAGCTCTAATCTCCGAGTAGGAGATGAAGTTGATTTTATAGGAAGGAGACCAAGAAACCTATACCTCCTCCAATTCCTCCAGTTTCACAACATGCACTTCAGCTAGGGCACCTTTGTGGAGAGAAGCCTGACACTGCCAGCCTCCTCGTAGGATTCATCTAATTTGAGCAGGGCACAGGAAAAAGCATCTCCCTGTAGAAACCATTCCCCATCTTATTAGTCTTATTCCCTATTATTATTATTAATCTGTTCAAAGGGGCTGTGAGCCACACGTTTGACAAGACTATGCATTTTCATTTAGCAATCTTCTGTCCTGCTCTACTTATTGGGACATTAGGATCCAATAAAAGGTGCATAGGATCCTTTTCACCATGACATTAGCCAAGTAACCAATTCTAATTCCAAGAGTCAGAGGATCCTTTCACTAACAAACAAGGCTTTGGAGCTCCCTTGGTTAAGGGGAAGGGTTCTGTAGCATTGAGAGGAGTACGGCAAAGGGCTTGTTCTCAGAAGCCCAGCACACACAAGAGCTTTGGAAGGTTGTATCTCTGCACTTTGGTCTTTGGGTAGTGCCACCTGCTCAGTATCTGTAGTGGTCTGGCTTGAATGGCCCATCTCTTGATAAGCCAAGGTATTTGGCCTGCTTGTCACTCAGCTTCGTCAGCTTCACACACAGTTTATCCAGATGAGCAGCAGCCACAGCTTCATCCAGCTGGAAAACAAAACACGGAGACAAGAATATTAGCGGAACAGAGTCCTATTAGTTCAGGAAGTCATGGTCAACAGCGAGAAATGAGTATGTGAAAACCAATAGTAGCCCTAAGGGGGACTTAACAGACTGACACAGACAAAGAGTCAGACAGCTCTTTTCCTGCTTGAGCGCAGAGAGAGGCATTTGCTTTGAGTCCAGAACTGTGTTCAGATGGAAAAGCCCCACACTTCCGAGGGAGTCAAGTTACATTCAAGTGAGACAGACAATATAGTCAAGCCCATTTCAATCATATTTACTTGTTGGATGGATGTGAATGTGTAAAGAACAGAGATCAAACTATTCAGAAATAAGAATATGCAGTTTGGTAGAATGGTAGAACCTCAACCATGTTTCCTCTACAAAGGCACCTGAACATACTAGACTCTCATCTTACAATTTTGGATAAGTTCTGATAATGGAAAAAATGCATCTCCTTTCCAGATATCCCATCTTAGAGAGTATTAAAAAAATCCATTCCAGAATCACTAGTTCAACAAGAATACTAGTATCTACTGGCATTGTCTTCATGAAGAATAAAGCCAAGGTGGGCTGTAGGACATAGGCTCAGATATGTTGATATACTCTCTTTATTCCAGAGGTGTCAGGCAGACATGCAAACTCAAGGGACTGAAAAACGTGTAAAGTTACAAGACAGTTAAGTGCTACAGGAGATAGGCACAGAAGAGTCAGAAAACAAACAGAGAAACAGCAAATTAGCTGCTATGTCAGAGACAAACATATAGCCATAAAGGATATTTAAAGACAGAACAGACGGTGCTAAGAAGGGATCAAGTGCTGCTGAGTTACAACAGAAGGCCAGGTTTGACCACCATTTGTAATTCCTGCAAAATACAAGTAATCATTGCTAAGGTAACAGATATGAGGTAAGTCTAAATTCCAGCAGCATGGGAAAGACTGGCAATATTCCCCCCATATTAGTTAAATAGATGCAAAAGTTTGCAATATTTGAAGGGCAATAAATCAACAAAACAATCAAGGGCCAGATCTTCAGTTTGAGTGAACCAGCACATCTTAAATGATTCAATAACTAGTCCTAGATTCCCCACCCAAAGGGAGTGTGGTAACAAGCAACTACTCTGAAGTAATCCCATTGTAATGGACCAGGTGAAAAGCTACATCTGTGCAGAATATAATACACTGCAGCTCAACCTGCTGAGTAGAACTGCCAATATCTCTTGAGAACATGGGACCACCAACATCTCTTGAGAACCAACACAGACAAAGATGTACAAGACATAACTGAAAACATAAGATGAAGAGGTTGAAGAACACAGAAGCGAACCACGAAAGCTACCAAACACTACATAAGAGTAAGGAAAATCACAGAAGAAAAGCTAATTGGTAGGACTGTGTTTAGAAGGGAAACAGCTATCTAAGCTTAACAGATCTTGTTGGGGAGGGGGTGAGGAAGGAAGGTTAAAAATTGAATGCATATCTGGTTGACTAGGCTGACATGAAGATCTGATAGGTGCATATTTCCAGCAAGTTAAAAACAGATTACACCCACTTGAAAAGGAGCCGAGTCCCTGACATTTCCTAGATCAGGTTCTCAAACTGCAGCAAAGATAAGCTGTTTCACAGCTGCATCAGCTTGGGGACTTTAAGATTTAGATAAAAAGATACACAAACTTAGATGAAGGCAAGCGACATTCTTACCTCAAAAATCAAACAGCTGAGCATAAGAATGGACAGATTTGGTGCCAAGAACATGAACACAACTGTGTGCCTAGATTTCTGGGAACACATATTGCAGAAATGTGTGCATGTCTAATACCTGATCATCAAACCAATATTCTTGCAGTCAGAGTGCAGTGTAAGGTACTTAGTAATTCTCAAATTTTACACTGGGACCTCAAAGCTACTGCACAGAACGAGGAAAGATACTAGCCAGAAAAAATTATCAGAGAAAGCTGTTCGGCCCATCTTTTGTTGGTTCTGACAAGGCAACTGCTTTATTCTTTGAAATTCTCCATGGAGGGCAAAGGGTATAGAGAGCATTTTGTCACAGTATATGAACCCGAAAAGATCACTGCCATATGCTCCATAAGCATGCAACTCCATTTGTAACTCACTCATCTGGGCATTACTTCTCATTGCTAGTTCAAGTATACTTACTAAGTATTGTTATTCGGGAAGAGGATGAAGCCACATTTTATTAGCAATATTGGCCTATCATTTTTGAGAGAATTGTCAATGAAACTTTTCCTTTGAAGATGATTATGTGTCAGCTTGCAGATCAACTCCTACACTGTATACCTGTTAAGCTTTGCTTGATCATTAATGGATGGTTTTGGAAGCTTAAGTCCTTCAGCAAACACTTCATAAGTAAACACAAATATACACACTCTACTTTCCAAATCAAAAGTATTTTCACATTTAGTATCACACCTGGTTACATTCCAAAGGCAGTGGGATTTAAATCCAGCATTTTTCAATGACCATCTCAAATTCTCAGGCTTGTTTTGGAAAATTAAAACCAGGTTAGTTTTATAAAAGGTATTTGTGAGTTGTGACATGATCCAGATTTTTCCAAGAACAAAGAATGCAGAGATAAGTTTAAAGGAAAACCTGAGGGAATCTGTCATTAATATTTTGTGAAGCTATTAGGACCAGATTGTGATAAGCTCTGCTTAGGTGCAAATGGGACACAGACTCTACCAACCACGGTAAATGCGATTCCTAGTTTCACTCCAGCTTCAACTCTGCCCCACTAGACTCTGCTGCTAGAAAGGCACATGAAAGCTTGCTGTGAATGCTGACATTCAGAAGAAGGAACCAGTTGGTTGGGAGAAGTTCCCTGACTACCCTGAGGCAGCACAGGGCTCCCCAGCACCTTAGGGAAGAGCCCCAGGTCAAGCCAGAGTGACTGGATGTTCCTTATCACGTGGAAAAACCTCTACACTGAAAGGGTTATCAAAGACTGGCACAGGCTGCCCAGGGAAGTGGTTGAATCGCCATCCTTGGATGCATTTAAGAGCCATCTAGATATGGTGCTCAGGGACATGGTTTAGAAGTGGACCTGGCAGAGTTAGATAACAGATGGACTTGATGATTTTAAAGGTCTTTTCCAGCCATAACAATCCTATGATGCTACGTGACAGACAAGTCCCAGTTCTGCACAACAGGTTAGCCACAAAATCCAGCCCACTTCAGACTCAGCATCACCAACCCCAAGCATTCTCTGAGGGACAGAAACTCCTTGCAACAACAGCATTCAGTAGGAAAATGAACTCAAGCACAAACGAAACAAATTCATGTGATCGCATCAGAAGTTCGCTTCCTTACAAGCTTGCATCTTTCTGCTATTCTAACTCACCTTCTTTGGCAGGAAATGGACTCCGACAGAGTATTTGTCACTATTGGTCCACAGCTCGATCTGTGCCAGCACCTGGTTGGTGAAGGAGTTGCTCATAACAAAGCTAGGGTGACCCATGGCACAGCCCAAGTTGACCAGTCGGCCCTCTGCTAGCAATATAATGTGACGGCCATTCCTCAGTGTATAGCGATCCACCTGGGTGGGGAAAAGCAAAAGCAGTGCAATGTCAGGGCAAAGAGAGCATTTTACATCATGCAAAGCTTAGTGGCCTTTCTCCCCACATCATCAATTCAGCAGTGGGCTTACAATGCAGACTTTGATTACAATTGAGCCACCCTTCCCTCAATTTCCAGCCAGAATTTGCAAAGCCTGTAGCTATTCTGGACATCACACATGAATCTTAGCATCTACTTCATATTTAACCACTTATCCAGTTGTTCTGGTTTTTCCACATGCACGATGTCTCAGATGGTTGCGGTGGGGAGCATGCTGCTAGCAGCAAAATGCAGTTCATGTATGCTTAACTGTAACAAGGGGTATGGAGAGACAGGTCAGAAGAGGGAACACCTCTGCACGCAACAGCCCACAGCCTTTGCATCTAACACAGGGGTAAGAGCCAGAGTCCTCAGCCTGCTGAAACTGCTCCCCTGTAACTCTTCCCACTTCCATAAGGCTAATGCTTTACAGAATAAGAAGCATAAAATTGTTTAGGTTGGAAGGGACCTTGAAGATCATCTGCCCTGGGCAGGGACACCTCCCCCCAGCCCAGGTTGCTCCAAGCCCCGTCCAGCCTGGCCTTGAACACCTCCAGGGATGGGGCAGCCACAGCTTCTCGGGGCAACCTGGGCCAGGAGCTCATCACCCCCAGAGTGAAGAATTTCTTCCTAACATCTATTCTAAGTCTCCCCTCTTCAGCTGTCCTAGCTTCTGGTGTACCCTCCTTTGCTCTCAGGGGGACAAAGACATGGTCCTCCACACAGACTGATTTCCAAGCTATGCTGGGGACAACAGGACTCTGCACACCTAATCAAGCCTCACATGGGCTAATGAGACAGTCTTCAGCTATATGAGTGAGTCCCACACAATTCAGAGGATAATGTCACTTGATATGCACCTCAACTGTCTGGGCCAGATTGTGCTCCTGCAGTGTTAAAGTGAACTCTGCTTCTCCTTTGCACCAGTCACCAGCTCTTCTCCCCTGCCTTCACCCCTAAAGGGGGTTACAATATTAAAGCCCAGAATGAACTGCCAATATGGCCTGTAAGTTACAAGAATATTCAGTATTCACTGGTATTTATTGCTCATGACACACCAAGCATGTGTGAGTACAGCAAACCTTTGGAAAGACTTAAAAGATAATCAACAACCAACTTTAACAACGGTTAATGCTTTAGAAAAGTCCATTTATCTTATATGTCAACGCACAGCAAATGTGAAAGACCTAAAAGGGTCCCTCCCCACAGCTGTATTTATACTTTCAGTCTCAAAAGTTATATAATATGAAGCAAAACATCACTTTCCATTTTATTCTTAAAGCTTTGGCCTTTTACTCTTAAAGCCACATGGGATGAAGCTTTAATTGTAACAATACCATCTTCTGAAAAAAAAAAACCCACCTTTTTGCAGGTCCTTATGCAGCAATGTAATGAGTTGATAGAAGCTATTTGATTAGAACAGGTATTTTGCCTTCAGAGAAGGTCTGCGCCTCCACCTGTCTTCCCTAGCTATGCTTCAAACGCACCACTATTTTCTACTCTTTGGGTTCATGTAAAAAATTATTACGTTTTCAGCACAATATATGCAGACAGTAACCACCTCAAACAGAAGCCCTGAATAACATTCTTAATTTCTCCTGTCCAAGAGCAGTACAGCAAGGTAGGGTTAGTAACAATGCTCTCCACTGAGCAGCTGCAATATTTCTTACAGATGCTGATTCTCCATTGTGGACCATCAGTGACAGTGCTCAATCCACCCAAAAAATACCACATGGGCTATCACAAAATTATGGAAGTAATGAAACAAAGAAGGAAGCAGCCAGAAAGCAGAACACTAAAAACCCTGAGGACAGCTACGATATTACTTATATTAAACATTATGTTTACAGATTAAGATACTACAAGGTAGCAGCTAACCAGCATTTCAGTTTTGAAGTCTGAATCAGGTGGTTTAGTGTCAAAATATTATATCCATATAACATCCACACAACTTGCACCTGGACAGCTGCTGGCTTGTGCACTGAATCACATACCTTTGGCAATCTGCTGACATGACCCATTCAATGCACGGGGTAATGCAGAAAATGCAAATTAATGTCTTTACACAGAAATAAATACAAAATAGTAGCAGTACCAGAGGCTTAAGTCAGTGCCCTGGAAACACATCTCATCTATGAGCAGATAAACAGGCTGATTCATAAGCTCAGAAGTAGAATTCAAGTTATCCAAGCATTAAGTTCATCTCCACACATACATAAATGCCTCCTCCCTTTCCCCACCAGCTTGCTCTGGACTTTCTGGCTGCTTTGCCCTTCCCTCCACACCATGATAATATAAATAATTTATTTTCAGTGCCAAAGCTCATTAATCCCACCTTGACCTTTCTTTCCTGGAGTCGAGCTCGTTCTACACATCAGTCTCCAATACCAGACAGCAGCTGAGCAGGACTGTGGTGCAAAGCCATACTCAAAACTACTGGCCAGCTTTTCTGTAATAAGCCTATTATCTCCTTAAGTGTACTTTGAAAGCAACAGATGAATCAGAATGGTACAATAAGACGTTTTCCTGTCCCAAGCATTAAACATCTCTTACACCAGCTCACCACTATGTAAATGGAGACCATATGGTACAGAAAACCACCACGTTGGACACATTCACAATTACTCTGTACCTCTAGCTGAAGTCTAGCAGCCCTCAGCTCTGGTATTAATCCTCTGATCAAGAGACAGATGTCTTCACAGGAGGTTAGAGATTTTTGCTCTTGTACTATATTCCCCTCCCTGCTACAGGAGAGAGAAAAAGTGGCCAGATCTTAGCAAAAACTTGAATATTTAGAGAGTTTAAGAGAGTTAGGATTTGGTATTATAAAACACAGGATACCTCACCCAGAACTTCAATGTGAAAAAACACATGTTATTCTAAGGATAAGTGCAAGATCTCACACCTTTAACTCTGTACTGAGCTTCCCTTGAGGACCCCAAAACACTAGGGACAAGATGACCACAGAAGTGTCCCTTTGAATCTGGGCAACAAAACTGAGAAAGCAGTAATGGCCTAAGTGGCAAACCAGTAATTTCCTTCCCAGATTAAGAGCAATTCCATCAATTATTGTAATGACTCATCACTGCTGCCTTGAGAAAGGTCCCAACATATGCAAATTCCCATGAAGGTGGTGATGGACAGAAGCTACCAGATGCCTCCTGGAAGCTTGTTTCTAAAGCTAAAGTTAATGGATGTCCTGGGGGAATTAAGCAATTGCAATAGATTTCTACCCAGTGATGGCCTTTAGTTTGTTTCAAGAACAGAATCTGGGGCTCTAAAGTCACATTTTGCCTCCCAGTCCTGCCTCCCCCCTTTTAGAAATGAGTAAGTTTTTAGTACGTGTATTAGTCCACTCTTGCTCAGCTGCCCAGCCACCATGGCAATCGGGCACAGAGAATGAAAATGAAGAATGAAGCTTTTACACAGCAGAACTTGTTCACATAACACCTTCTCAGCAGGTACCTCCTTACCTTGTCACGCAGGTCTGAAGTCTTTAGGGACAAGAAATCTAAACAGACAAAATGGAGCACAGCAGTATACCACTAGCACAGTGCAGCTACTATAGCATTAAATACACCAATAAGAGTCCAACTGGAGATTCAAACTAGTTAACAGGGCTTCAGATTCACTGCTAGAAGTCAACAAAACCCAAGTACTAACCTGAGCCAGGGACCAGCTTTTACTGGGCTTGCCAATGCACACATCTGTAGGCCATCCTCTCTTCAGTAAAGCTTCAAAAATGTGGAATGACCACAGAAGATCAGATTTACTGGTTACCAGTGGCAACCAGTATATGGGTAAGGAGAAGCACAAGAACAGCCCAAGGGTAAAGTGCTATTTCCCCCAGTAAATCCTCTCAGCTTCAGCTATCTGTGCATCAAGCTGAGCCAGAGGGAGTCCACTCAGGGCTGTCAGAAACACCTTTTACAAACTTTAGCTAATGACTTTTTAGTAAACACACTTGTGGCATCCACAGCACACTGGGCAGCTACTTCCACAGCTTCCGCTCTGTAAGCGGGTGTCTCCTTTGCATCACTCCAAACATCCTTCCTTGCGACAGCAGAGGTTTAAATAACAGACCAGAGAGATTCAAGGTAGGAGGCAGGTCTTCAGCATTAAACCGTATCGACAACCTTGGCGCTAATTCCATCCTTTTGAAAAGATAATATTCTGCTTTTAACCAGAAACTTGTTACAGTTTTCGTACCTTGGACTAGACTGCATCTCATTGCACCTAATACATCTGTGACAGACTGGCTCCTTCAACACAGTATACAAAGAAAGAGGGACTACTACCTCTGCTAAGTGACACAATTTTTCATATGGACTTTAAGAGCCACATTGAATGGCCACGTGCAGGCAGTTTGGATATTAACATCCAATTTAGCCTTCAACAACATTTACTTTTTGAGCAGGGCCAGTATTTAGTTTTCAAACCCAAACTAGTAGAAAGCAAGCAGTAAGCTGCAGGCTCCTCTAGGACAAGAGCTGTTGAGCACAGTCAGCTCCACACTAAGGTCACAGGTAAGAACAGACTTGAACAGGGCACAAAGTTGAGGGTTTAACTTCATACCTAGTTGAGCCCACATGGAGTGTCCCAACAGCAAACACGATACTGAAAAGACACTCGCAACTGCTTTGGAAGAGTCTGATGTGGGTGGCCAATAAGCCACAGGGGAATTATGAGAGTTGGAAGGGCAGACCGATATCTACTAAGACATATGCTAGGGTGTGGTGTTTTTAGAAAAAGCTGAAAACCTCTCCCAGAAACCTGCTATCAGCAAGTACGCTCCCTCTTTAAAAGGTAACTAGAAGTCCCATGCCAAGTCAGACAAAGCCTGGTTTGCTTTATGTTCTCCCCCAATGCTGGTGTTACAAAACAGTTTTGATTTAGTTTAGTTTCGTTCCCCTGCTTTCAAAAACACAGCTGAACAGCTGCAATTTTTAGATTCCTATTTTCCTGTGTAGCTACAGCCATAGCTTGAAGTAAATACATGGTGGGAATGCACACTGAGCAAGGATAAAACATCTCGCCTTGTCTGCCCATGCAGAGACTTCTGGTCTACACAGGTTTCTAAAATGAAGCCACTAAGTTTGGAAGAGAAGTCTGAGTTTGGCAGAGCTCCAAAGAGGCTTTCCTGAGGCTTCAGTCTGAGTGAAAAAAAAAAAAAAAGCTTTGAAAACAAAGAGGTGTGAAATTTTTCAAACCCTGACAGAATCCCAGAAGACATTTGCTTGAGATTCACTCTAATCCTGGCACTCGGCATCAAGACCAAGATTGTTCTGGTGCAGAGCAGTACATGAACAAGCAGATTCCCAAGAGGAAATGCAGATCAGCCACCAGGCAATCTATGGGCTGCATTCTTAAGTTCTATATGGTCTCTAATGGTCTGTTCTGTATTCATCATCTAAGTTTGCTTTTTGAAACTGAGTTATAGCACTGTTTTCAGCTGAAGGCTATCAAAAAAAAAAAATCACATTTCCATACTTCCTCACCGTACCTCAAACATCAAAGCTGACTTCCTCTACAGAATGAACTTGATGCAATTAATTGTCTACACACCCACCACTGAGAGGTAGGCTCCTGTTTGTCGAGGAAGTAGTAACACATGGAGAAAGATGCATCTGTACCAGGCACCTCTCGCCAGAGACCACACTGTACACTAGGGCACCGGCTGGAATCAATTGCTTTAGTAGCAACATAAGAATATGACATTCAGCTTGTTCCAGGTTAATTGGGGAAGAATAGAGCAGAATCTCCGTTCTGATCAGCCCAGAAAAACACTGGCTTCCAAGAAAGCCAGAAACAAAGTACCTGAAGAGAAACACCCGCCTTTCTGGAAACAGACTCTGAGTAGCTATTGCTTCTTTCTAGCAGGAGAGTTTGTGCAAGGGCTGTCTCACCTGAGGTTTAACATTCACCGCCTCTACTGCATTTTCATTCAGCCACTTTGCATCAACTTCCACATCAAAATGGCCAATATTACACACTATGGCATCATCCTTCATCTGCTCAAAGTGCCTGCAAAAAAAATTCATATCAAACATTAATGAACAAAATTTTTTCTTCAGCACCAGAAGATGCTCTAGTCCATAGCTCTGCTCAAGGAAAAATGAAAAGTGCCTGGCTCACTGACTGCATTTGACTCAAGATGGGTGGGTCTGGTAATCTTCCAGGCACGTGAAGTCCACTGGAAAAGACTCTTAAGCTTCTAGGGAAGGATGCTTCCCAAGGATATAAGAGGTTATCAGAGAGAAAATATTTTCCCAGTATGGAAAGTAAAACTATTTTGTTTAATTGGTCAAAACTGAAATTCCCACAGTTATTCTCTTTCCTACACAGAACAAATCATTTTCTTCATTACTTTAAAGTTTCCAGCAGTTTTAAATCTCTACAGAATAACGGCCTTATCCCCTCCCACTTAATCTGACCTTCCACTACAACATGTGCAATCATAATGGCAAAGATAGGAATGAATTTGTGTAGAGTGGAGGGGCTATAAATTGAGATCTAAGAAGTGATAACAAAGACTGCAGGATAGTTTATTGAGAACAGGCTAGTTTCAAGTCTGCTATGTGTACTCACAGATGGAATCACTTTCAACCTTTACGTTTCAACCTTTACCTCCTCCTCTGTTCACATTTATCTATCCTAACACAGAATTTAGCCCTGATGCTCTCATTCTCTGAAAGTCTGTCTATCCCTCTACACCTTTGGTTTCTCCATCATTACATGCTGTAAGACAGGAACAATTGCAACATGGCAACATCCAACAAAATTGAAAAGACCCTGATTTCTCACTAAATCAATCCTAAATCCTGATGTCCAGAAATGAGACTGTGTGCTAACCTTCACCATACTGCTGTAAAATTATGACTGTATTTAAAAAATCTAACTGTGCAGGTATACTTTCGCTAAAGCATGGGGCTAGACCATACCTGCCCTGAACAATGTCAGTGCAGCCAGTGGTGGTAACAAAGATATTGCCTTCTTTGCAGGCCTCCTCCATGGTTGTAACTTCATAACCTGAAAAGAAAGAAAATTATTGCTCTACCCAACTACCAGCACTTTTTAATAAGTGGGCTACAATATTACAAGCAGAGAAGTATGGAGAAAGAATAAGAGAAGTCTGTGCCAACACCTGACCTATGGAGGATGCAAAATAGAGGGCATACTTGTCTTACTAAACACCAACATAGCAGGAAAACATCTATGCCTCGCCCATTTAAAATCTGTAGATCTATATATTCAATATCTTATGTCCATAGGTGTAGTATCTGGCACAGCCCTCGGACTGGATTCAGGGGGTCAGGTTTGCAAAGGGAAGTGCACCCACCACACCTGCAGCTCTAACCAGGTATGAATAGAAATGGGATAAACTGGTATGAAGAAGCATAGTTACATGAGGCACCCACAGAAATAGAAGGAGCACAGCTTCCAGAGCATGCCATAAGCACAACTGGAAAGGCAGACAGCATGGCACTCTTCCCCAAAAACGTCTGGTGTTTTACTGTGGAGATATTCTAGTGAAGTCTTAACCCACACTGGAGGCTAGAGTTGCACAACTTAAAGATAACAAAACCATTCCAAACCAGCCTTACAGCATTATGAAATGAGGGCCTTACCCCACTATGGTCTCTATCCTTGACTCCAAACACATCTTCAAGGCCTATACTAATAAACTCCTTCCTTAACTGTAAGGAAGGAATTCCTACAGTTAGACTGGAGTTACCTCTACCTCAACGGGGACAAGGCTGAAACCCACTGAAACTTTCTTGGACAACTATCACTTATTGCTGTACACTGACATGCAGAGACCCCCACCAGCTGCATTAACTTCCGCATCTCCTCCAGTTCTCACCTTCCATGGCTGCCTGCAGTGCGTTGATGGGATCGATTTCAGTGATGATGACTCTGGCTCCAAAGCTCCGCAGGGCCTGAGCACAGCCTTTGCCCACATCACCGTAACCTGCCACGACTGCTACTTTTCCAGCGATCATGACATCTGTAGCACGTTTGATGCCATCAATGAGGGACTCTCTGCAACCATATAGGTTATCAAACTTGCTCTGAGGACGAAAAAGGAGCAGTTTCAAAACAGATGAAAGTCATTCAAGTAAAAATTCCCTAGAGAAACAAAATGAACTTGTATACAAGTACTACACACAAGAGGCTGACAGTCAGCTAAACAGTTTAACCACAGCGAGGGATGGGAAGAAGATAACCTGGTTTAATGCTTTTATTTATTGAGTTTCAATCTATATAGTTACACCAGATACAGGCTTCAGCACATCCCTGGCAAGAAGCACTTCATAAATATGTTGCATCTACTGACTACGGCATGGACACGTTAAAAGCTTGTTAGAGGTAACCTGAATTTAGTAAGTAAAAGCACAATTATCACATACAGACATAGGTCTGAGTTCCTTAACCAGAGGTTCACCAGTTCTCTGCTTCCATTTAACAGACAATGAACTGAACCAAGTGCCACAGGTATGCAAAAAAAAACAGCAGAATATCTGGCCAATTAGTCTTAATCTTTGCAAAACACATGCACCCTGCAGAAGTAGCAAGCTGCCCCCATTAACCATGAGAAATTCACTCCTGCAGCCCAGGAAGATCAAAATACACTAACACTGACAGACCTCACCACTGTTCAGAACTACAAAAATCCAGCAAGTAGCCATTCACAATACCAGTCACTGCAACAAAGAACCCCTGAATTTCATCTCCTAATGCCCCACCATACAACATCCTCCTGCTATAACATTAACACACGAGCTTAACAGCCAGGCCTCCAAATCAAGATTCCCTTGCTAAGCCAGATGTCAAATACTACTCCACTGGAACATCTTCCTAAACTCAGAAACACATATTGCTGTACTGATTTTTTGTAATGCTCCTTCCTCCCTTTTCTCCTCAGGCCCTTTTGTTTTGACCAGGAGGATGGGCTTTATGAACAGATTTGATTGTCTGAACAGTTACAGAAGCCAAAAATTTAAAAAAATCTGGCTACCAAAGTTGTGCTGTGCTTTGCAAGGCAGGGGTATAAAGAACTCGCCATTCACAGCAAAATTCTGGTCTCAAAGCCTGCCCTATGCTTTCCACAGCCTTACATCACCAATCATTCTTGCTTTCACTTGACACAGGTAGCACTGTCTGCTATAAGCAATCTTAAGACTCAATATCTAGATGCGAGTAGGGCTACTGGTCTTTCTAATGGGACCTACCTTGCAGCTACAGCTGGTGCCACCTAGCACGGGTAAGACAACATTACAGTTTGTTTTTCAGTCTACAGCCTACAACTGTAAAATTTTTTATAATAAAAAATGCAAAGTCCATGTATAAAAAAGTTACAGCTATGACTCCAATGCATTATCTGAGCGAGTTAAAAGGTACAGTGGCATATTGCTCCCAGCCTGAGAAGCTGGCTGAGGATTAACATGTAAGAACTTATACTTCAGATCCAGAGGTTCCTGACTCAGTGCCTGTAAGTCTTATCACAGGCACATTTGCCATTAATATTTCAGAAAGTTTGTGTTCCCAATCCTTCAAATTCCAAAGCTAGTGCTAATTGTTGATCTTTTCTAGTCCTCCAACCGATTTTCCCTGCAGTATAAGCCTTCTTATGGAGGCAAATAGCATGGTCAGATTTGATTCCTCATCACCAAATCCCCCCATTGCAAGCAAAGCCTTCCAGATCCTTGTGCATCCCCGTGCAGGCAAGGTAACAGAGTGGCAGATGCAGACATCTGTCCCACCCAAAAATACATCTGAGTGTCAGGAGGGCAAAACAGACCTGGGCACTGCCTGCCTTCTCTGTCCAAATACTGGTATAGGAACCTGACACCAAGTGAAAATACCAAACTGCAAGAGCAGAATTTGTCAGCTCAGTAGCATGTCTTCCTGGAGATCTGCAACTGTGGTTAGTACAAATCTTTTACTACCAAGCAGTGCTTGAAAATAAGTATTTGTTTGGCACTAGAATAAAGTGAGCTTAACCCAAATCCACTCAAGATGCTCTTTTAGAAACTTCTAAATTTCCAAATCTACTAAACAGTATTAACAGTTATTATGCAGGAGGCACACATCTAGGTGAAAAGGATGCAGAGAAACAGGCTTCTTCCGAGGTCAACTGGATTCAAGCCCACTAGCTATGAAATAAAAATGCCAGATGCATCTTTGTGAGCAGAAAGAAGAGACTCTTCAGATAGTGAACTGCAGAAAAAGCAGGCCAAACAGTGAGAACTGCCATGCCCAATAGGATGGTAACCTGAAATAGATTTGGCAACTAGATTTAAAAAACATCTAGATGCATAAACATTAAGTACGCCTGAAATTCCCACTATAATTTATCTGCATCCAAAAAGCATCAGCACCCTTTAAACATTCCCCCTCATCTCTCAATCCACCAGGATTTGTCTCAGGAAGCAGTATTACAGCTAAGCAGGGAATAAATTCCTCCTGCCCTATCCTCTGTAACTGCTGCTCACAGAAATGCCTTGTCAGATCAACTGACTTTTACCAGCCACAAGCTCATGTAGGTCACACTTTTCCAGCTGGTACCTGCCACCTGCCTGTGGGCTTTAAGCTATTCAGAGCAAGGACATGCCCCTTGCCACAGAAACTGACTGTTACCCAGGAGCCATAGTTTCCAAAGGTGTTTTTGCATTCTTCTGCATTTTAATAATGTATGTCCTCACATACAAAAAGAACACCAACCTTGATGTTCTGAAAACAGGCTATTTACAATGGCATGTCCCATTAGAGACATCATGGGCTCGCTTCAAGGATATGGTGAAAATCTGTTCAATACCACATCAAGAATAGTTCGGCAAGAGGAATACTTGCGTGGGAATGACAACAACCCAACGCCAAACTGGACATAGCAGAAGAGTTGCATTACCTTGGTGACAGAGTCATTAACGTTGATAGCTGGCACTTTAAGGGTCCCATTGGCCTTCATCTTGTACAGGTTGTGAACTCCGGTGGTTGTCTCTTCTGAAATACCTCTAATTCCTGTGGGGAGAGTAAAAGGATTCAACTTAGCTGGAGTTAATGCTGCTGCAAACCAATGCATCCAGGTGCTGGGAGCATCCTCCAGAGGCCTAAGTTAAACAAACCCTTTGCAGGAAGCAAGGAAGAGACGAGAATCCTCATTTGCATCCTCAAACAGTAGTTTGAAACTTCAAACCAGTTTCTTCCCGCACATTAAAAGAGCAGGACAAAATATTATTTGGAAAAATGGAAGGCACCAACTCTTGACCAGGGAATCAGGAAAAGACCCCACTCTATTTTCTCACAAAATGATCAAAAAATCTTGTGCAGAAAGGGTAAGATGTTCACCTCAGCGATGTTTCTACACCCTAGTCCATTCTTGCTAGATGGCTTAAGAGGAGATGATCCTAGGTAACCACAGTTAAATTTAAAGCACTTGAATCAACTGAAAAAAGTAAAAAAAAAAAAAAAAAGACAGTTCACTATTCCCAATCCTCCTGTTGTAATCAACTTCAGCTCTGATTAAACAGCTGACACCCCCCCAAAATCTGGATACTAGCTATAGGAAACTTCAGTTTCACAGGCATTATTAGCACAATTAAAAAACATTATTTCAAATATATCCTTGTTTAAAAACAGTCCAGGAGGCAGAGACCAGAGACAGGACCGTCTAGAAACACCAACATCACATAATGAACTAAAATCCTGATAATGCAGGAACTGTCCCTAGGGTTATCTGGCTCCACATTACACTGAAAGGCCAAAGCTGTAGAGGCACCCCCTGCTTTAAGGGGCCTGACTCTTTGTGGACCTTTCGACAGCAGCCAGTTGTTCAGAAGCAGCATCACTGCACACAACTTCTGCATTAACCTTCCTCTCTAATATTTCAGTAATACCTCATTGATAATACCCAATTACTTAAAAAACCTATCTGCACAAAGAGGTACACAATATATGACCATCAGAATAAATCCGAAACTAAACTATCCAGTCTGGCTGAACTTCCACTGCAGAGGATATGGTAATTACATTTGTTCTTTAAGGACTGGAGGCATACTGCAAGACAATTATCTTGTTGAAGTACAAACTACTGGGGGAAAATAGAGGAATTCTGTTAAATCACGATGAAACCACCAACACAAGCAACATCTCTATAGAGATCCATGTAGCACTTAGAGCTAATTCAGATTCACAAGAAAAGAGAAAATATGAAAACAATGAATACCAAGTTCTATAGACACCAAAGACTTATGCAGAGAAGATATTGCCCCTCCAGGCAAATGACCTCCCACATTGACCTCAGAATAATTTGAAAGGATGCTTGTAAGCAAAACAATTTTACAGTCATTTTAATAGAAAATCTGAGAAATACACATTCATATTGTTCTGTTCGGGCTCTTTCACTGATGAAGCAGGTGACAGCCCAGGTTATGTTATGTGAGTGCACATGAACAGACAGGAATAGTGCTCCCTTTCATATCATTTTCTGAATTCCTCTCCCTCACTGCATAACATACAATTGCTCCCAATTGCTACATATAATTTTTTATCCGCACTCTATCCACAACCCTCCTAGCATTTCAAAGGAGGTGAGCGTTAGCCTTCCTACTTCACAAACAGCAAAAGCAGAGGGGCCAAAGGACTAGCCCAAGATCAGCAGCCAAGAGCAATGGCAGGGCTCCTCAACCACAGCCCACACACCTCCTCCATAGCCAGTATTACTTTAGGGATGGGAAAGCGTCAACAAACAACAATAACCCCCAGCAAAATTCCCCCACATTATTTATGTAGCCCATTAATTGTGGGTGAGAGAGAAGTGTCCAAGTGTCACCACCTCCCCAGCCACCAAGACCTACAAGAAGTTTAAAGGACAACATGAATAACTGGAGAATCACCTCTCTCAACAGCACAAAGAGTGATCACCACTATCGGGAGCAGCAGCACAGCCCATGGTGGGAACAGGAACAAAGCAAACGAGATCAGCACCTCCAGCTGAGCAGCTGCCTTTGCCCACAGAGGACAAGCAAATAGGTCAGCCACCCGAGGGGCCTGCAGGCTCCAAGGAAGCTCCTTGAGGCCACATCAGGACACTGAAAGAGCACCGGAGGGCAGGAAGGCCAGAGCACGTGTTTCAGATCCACAGGTACCTGCACCCTCTGGGCACCCAGAGGTGCCATACCTCCCGGGCACAGGTCCCTAGCAGGTACCTGCACCCCCTGGGCACCCAGAGGTGCCGTGCCTCCCGGGCACAGGTCCCTAGCAGGTACCTCCACCCCCTGGGCACCCAGAGGTGCCGTGCCTCCCGGGCACAGGTCCCTAGCAGGTACCTCCACCCTCTGGGCACCCAGAGGTGCCATACCTCCCGGGCACAGGTCCCTAGCAGGTACCTGCACCCCCTGGGCACCCAGAGGTGCCATGCCTCCCGGGCACAGGTCCCTAGCAGGTACCTCCACCCCCTGGGCACCCAGAGGTGCCATGCCTCCCGGGCACAGGTCCCTAGCAGGTACCTCCACCCCCTGGGCACCCAGAGGTGCCATGCCTCCCGGGCACAGGTCCCTAGCAGGTACCTCCACCCTCTGGGCACCCAGAGGTGCCATGCCTCCCGGGCAGGGCTTCCTAGCAGGTACCTTCACCCCCTGGGCACCCATGGGTGCTGTGCACCCCAGGACCAAGCCCTAGCAGGGACCAGCACCCCGGGCACCCACGGGTGCCATACCTCCTGGACACAGGTCCCTGCACCCTCTGGGCAGCCAAGGGTGCCTGCTGTGCATCCCAGGCATGGCTCCTGGGAGAAGGCGGGCAGGTGCTTTGCCCTGACCCTTTGGGTTTCATCTGCCCGGCTGGAACAAGAGCCCCAGTGACAGCCCCCAGGCACCCAGGGGGGCTCCGGTCACCCCGCTGGGGTGTCAGGGGGTCGAAAGGGAACCCCAAATTTGTCCCAGAGCTCAATTAAGCGCGGAAGAACAAAGCCGATTGGAGCCCTCCTCACAGCCGAAGGCGCCGCCCCG